AAATTTTCTTCAATCACCGTTGACTTTAACTACTACTTGTCTGCTTTATTTAGTTATTTATTTTCGAATAAATAAGCTTCATTAAATGTAAAAGGTGTGAAAGTAATATGAAAGATGGATTTTCGGGTTGTTGAGAGGGGTTAGAAAAGGTAGGGTGAAGTTGCTGCTGTATAAGTAAGTAGGTATATCCTACCAAGCAAGGTAACCATTCAATCGAAGAGGAAGGTTTAGGTCTTAATTGGTTTGGGCGGTTATCGGTCCACTAAGCGGAAGTATGATCATATTTCTCTGGTCCCTGTTCCTGCTTCTTCCCATTTTTGCAGGAGTAGATTAAAAACGAATAATTTTCATTTGAAAGACCCCATTGTGTAAAGGTCTAGAGGATCATCCGTCTAAAGAGATGATCATTTAGTCACGGTCTTGCGATGATCTCGGTTCCATCAATCTACGATAGGATGTCGATCATTTCGATCCAATCAGTTGGCGTTCAGATGAAAGTGAAATGATGGGATGAGCGGATAAATTGGCTAAATCGACAAGTAGTCGATGTGAAGGTGAGTTGGGTTTACCTTAATCCAACAGTTTCTGAGAAGTTTCACTTTAAAGTAATATTCGTGAATGGGCGGACTCAATCCACCCAGACTGAAATGCATATGGGCCGGCGCCACTGATTGCTGCTTCCTTGATTCATAAATGTTTTTCGTTTTGGTTCTACTTTGAGCCCTGCCTCTTTCTCCCATTGAGGAGTATGGCTTTCTGGATGTCACTTCTAATGAACTGTTGCGTGTGGGAGGATGGGGGAGTGTAGAAGTGATAGCTTCTCGGAATCAGTAGAATCTTTGCCAACGAATGCAGAGCTTGAAAGCTACCAACAACGAAGCTGGCCATACCTGGCCGAGAAGATTTAATGCTACCATGGATCGGTAGAGGTAGGAGGTCCTTCTGGGACCCTCCCATTACAAAACGCTGCTCCATTGGGTCAAGATCTTACAGGTCAGGTTCGATTCCGTTGAAGAGCACATCGGAACTATGGTCTCCCATATATAACCGTCTGCACAAGAGATTTATTCCGCTGAGACTGGTCATAAGCAGGAGACTGGATTTCAAGGCGAGAAAATTGCGCAAATTTGCAGCGACACCCTGTTTCCGTGCAAATTGCTCATCCAACAAGGACTTTGTAGTGCGATATTCAACTCTCGCTACCGTATCCATGTTACATAGGCAATTCTGAAGCTAATAGACCGTGCAGAGGTTGTTGTTCTGCACCGATCTGCTGCTTTCACCATGACCAGATCCAGCCAGACAACCGATATTATCAATGGCGTTCAGTCGTGTCATGTTTATCGGTGCGGATCGCTCTTCAATCGCATCCTATCCATGGAGCCATTCCCATCCCACGATCATGCACTTCATATCC